TTTCCTAGCAAGTGATTGATAGGTAAGTGTAAATTTGGGGACCCTCCCAACACATGTCATATTTCCAGCCCACCTCACCTCAACTCTGAATTCTTTTCCTATAAATGATTCCCTTGAGATGATTTTTTCATGCTTAGATCCTTGTAATAGTAACACCTCTGGCACCAGCAGATCCTCAATACAGACTTACTGAATTTACTGTCCCTGGACCTCTCAGTTTTTGTGTCCTGGTAAGATCAGAGGTTTCTGAGTCATGCAACAGGAGTGGAGGAGGATAGAGGAAAAGTGGTGTCACCTGTGTCCTGCACAATGCAGCCCCTCTGCTCCCAGGCCTGCTGCAATGAGGCTGCCTCAAACCCCTGCGTATAGCTGGCCTCTTCTGCCTGGCTTGGAACAGCCATATCTTCTCATTCTTTTTCCCCAGGAGTTAACTGAGCCTCCTCCTTTCTGTCTACTGCTTTCATAGAGGACCTGAACACTAGGGGTTATGGTGCTCTCTTTGAGGCCATGACTCTCTCCAGGAGGAGTTGGGCTGAATGGTATCCACCAAGCTGGGTGGTAGATGAAATCCCTACTCTTACCCCACTGTGCTCAGCTTTAAAACTGAATCTGGATTCCCCAGGCTGACTCCTTCTCGTTCCTCCTTCTCTTCTTCCTCTGCCTCTCTCACTTTTAGAGGTTACCCTCAACTCCAACTCACCCTCCGAGGGACTTTTTAAAATCCTTTTCTATTAGTCATCTTTACCAGCAGTGGGGTAAAATACCTGACACCCCCAATTTAGAGGAGAATATGGTTTATTTTGGCTCACAATTTCAGAGGCTTCCAGGGAGGAACATCACTGTGCAAGGGCGTAGTGAAGGAAAGCTGCTCACTGCATGGCAGCTGGAAGCAGAGAGGGCAAAGCAGCTTGTGAGGAAGGGACCTGGGCCAAACATACATCTTTCTAGGCCACACCCCCACGACCCACGTCCTCTATCCAGGCCCAACTGCTTAACAGCACATTCAGCTATGAACTCATCGATGGAGTAAGCCATGGATGGTTTTAAAGCCCCCATGATCTAATCATCTTCAAAATGCCCCATCTCTAAACACCTGAGCTTTCAGAGCGACATTTTTTATCCAAATCATAACACCTGTTCTCAGCCTGTTCACCAGCTTCTCTCAGTGATTCAGACAAGCATGCCCACTCCTCATAAGCTCCCACATTCCCCACTTTTGCATTTTAGGGGCCACATGTTGACAACCAATGTCCAGAGTGACTGCATTCCACTAACTTAGTTTGAGGGAGTGAAAATAAGGCTGCTAATTATCTAGTTTCTGGTGGTTTAAGGCAGGTCTGAGTGGGAATGTTTTAGTTCAAGCTCCTGTAACAGAGTTCCATAATCTTGGTGGCTTGAAGCAACAGACATTTGTTTCTCTTGGATCTGGAGGCTAAAGTCTGAGATCAGGGTGCCACTGTGGCCAGTTCTGGTGAGGGCTCTCTTCTGGGTTGCAGATCGCCAACATCACATCGTATCTTCATGCGGCAGAAAGGGGTCTAGAATTCTCTGTTGTCCCTTTTATAGGAATTGAACCCTTATAATTGCCTCTGATGGACCCCATCTCATGCCACAATCCTGGGAGTTAGAATTTCAATAGGAAGTCTGAAGAGGACACAGTCTACTGCAGAGTAGAAACCTGGAGTGAAGTATTACATTTGTGTATCTAAATCCCCATGACTGTCAACTGCTGATCTAGCGAGGATGCCATCCCTTGACTAGAAGTGTAATAACACTTTCAGGAAGGTCTCTAAAGTAGCCCTGTACGGCTATATCCCGAGTAAATATGACCTGGGATGAGCACCTCTCATCTGCTCAATGTGGATTTTTGGACATCGTTCATAACCAGTACCTCTTTCCAGCAAGTGATTTAGAGTGGAACAGTAACTTACTCAGGTTGGGGGATAGTGGAACAGCTCCTGTCTGCCCATGAATAAATAATGAGTCAACTAAGCTCAGAATCAACCACAAGTGCTCAAGAACTTCACTTGCTCCTCTTTAGGCTGTCCCTTCATCTGCATACAATTCTATTTTTTTTTTCCAGGAAGGGGAAGAGGGGATCTTAAATTGGGTACTTGACAAGGATTCCGGATTACCAGATTAGGACTCTAGGAATCTTCTTCTCATAAGTGGCTCCTGATCCTTTGAAGAAACTGTTAGGATTCTGCAAACTGTGAGTGGAGGTCAGTGAGTGTGGACTTCCCTGATAAATCACTCTCCAGTGAGGCCAATGCTGGACCTGCTGATCTCTGGCGGACTTTGGCCCTGGAAAGACTGGACCTCACCTTCAAAGGGCTCTGATCCAGAGTTGTAAAGAGGGCTTTGAATAGGATCAGAAGGTGGACACCCTCAGGAAGCTTTGTAGCCAGTTACATGGAAACTTGGTACAAACTTGAAACATGAGTGAACCTGTCAAAGGTAGAGCTGGGATTTGTTTTAAGCAGCAACTCCTGTGTCTTTTGTCAGAGAATTAGGGAAATTCTTCACTTACAACTGGAAGCAAAGGGCCAGCTAGGTAGCACAGCAACCTGTGGAAACACAAGGGTGTGAAGGCTAGGTAACAATGATGGGGTCCTCTAGTGCCAGAGAGAGAGAGAGAGAGAGAGAGAGAGAGAGAGAGAGAGA